TAACAATAACAACATACAGCTCCCTTGTCAAACGCTGACCACTCCTGCAGTACGATTGCTGAGTAGAGTGCGGGATGGACTGCGCTTAAGTTAAGGACCACTTATCTGCAGGAGGCGTGTAAGGGATCTGAGGCAAGTGGCTCTAGGAATTGAATGTCAAGCTCTGGCTGTAGGGCCATGGGTGGGGCTGGTTGCTGGCCTAATGTACAAGGGACCCAGGAGAAGCGAAGGAATGATCTGGCAAGATGCTGCTAAGGCCTTCTGGAATTGGACACAGCTCATGAATGTGGGGCATTCTTTTTTTTTTTAAGTGGGGTAAAATGCACAATATAAAATCTACATTAAATAACATAAAAGTCACCATTTTTAAGTGTAATTATTATAGAATGTTATACAAACATTACTACTCTCTGCTTTCAAAACAACTTCTTTTATCGATTTCACTGGGTTGTTGTAAAGATTGTTATTGTTGTTAAGTGCCTTTAAGTTGGTTCTGACTCATAATGAGCCTGTATAGGGTTTCCAAGGAAAGCGGTGTGTGTGTTTGAACAGCTGACCTTGTGGTTAGCTTTCCTACATGGGAATAATTACATAAAGCACTTAATATTGTGCTTGGAACATAAAATATGCTCACAAAGTGGTAAATCATGACTGTCTAGCGTCCTTTGGAGGCGTCCTGGTGGGGTATTATAGGATAACCAAGTTCAGCGGTTCAAACCCAGCAGCTGCTCCTTGAAATTCCCATACAGGGTTCACTATGAGTCGGAATGACTTGACGGCACTTAACAACAACAAGGGTCCTTTGGAAGGAGCCATGGTGGCACAGTAGTTTAAGCAGTGGACTGCTAACCACCAGGTCAGCAGTTCAAATCCACCAGCTGCTCTTCAGGAAAAAGGGAGTGTTTCTGCTCCCATACTGATTGACAGCCTAGAAGCGCTGTACCAGGTGGCTATAAGTGAGAACTATGAGCTCTGTGTTTGAGGGTCCTCTGGAGTGAGTACGTGTACAGACAAACCCTGTGGCACTCAGAAGAGGAAATCAAATTGCTTCTAGCCAAGGTCAAGTCAGGGGTAGAGCCTTGGTCAATGGGCAGTATAGGAAAATATCTCCCAGGACATCTGAATGCTACTAGAAATGTGGCTTTCCTGGAGGCCCTTAGGTTTCACCAGCTAGTGGAAAGCAGAGTCAAAGTGGCCGTGTTACCAAGTACCGGGGGCCCTTCAAAATGTTCATGGGAAAACGGAAATTTGTTCAAGAACTGTATGAAGGTCCCTTTTCTTTGAAACCACCTCACAGCACTTAACAACAGCTAATGTGTAGTGAACAATTCACAGTTTTTCAGCACATCAAAGATTTTGCCGATAGGCATGGCTGCCATGTATGTGTCTCTTTCCCAACTCCACAGCACTTTCCTACAGAGTTAGATAAGTATGTAAAATCTATTTCAACCCATAGTGAACCTGTGCAGGGTTTCCGAGGAGCAGCTGGTGGGTTTGAACTGATGAACTAGTGGTTCCAAGTCCAGTGCTGATCCTACAGCACTATACCAGGAGTCCTTTTTAGATTTACAGAAAACAACTCCAAGACTTGAAAACACATGGAAACTGTAAGAAGGTTCCATTTATGAGACCAGGTAAAGAAGTATTATTTTTTGTGTAACATGGACCAGGTTGGGATAGCAATGTGAAATACCAGCGGTTAGTTGTTGGGCTGCTAACCTCAAGGTTGGCAGTTTAAACCCACTAGTTGCTCCCCAGGAGAAAGATGTAGCCGCCTGCTCCTTTAAAGATTTCCAGTCTCAGAAAGCCTGCACAGGGTCACAATGCTATCAGTTGCAATCGGCTCAGTGGAAGTGAGTTTGGTTTGGGTTTTGAGAAACATTCAGAAATCCTGCTAGTTTCCAAAACCTTGAGAAATTCAGAGTTTTCTTTAAAGTGAACTTTTAATAAAAAGAAGGCGAGGTGGAAAATGCAGTTAATCTCTCCAATGGGCCATTAGCCAAGTCCTTAGGGAAGTTTGTAACTTGCAAAGATAAAACCCCTACAGAGAATGAAAAATAACAGAAAATGGAACCTTCTGCATAAGCAACTGTGATCTACGTCTGTACCAATGTGTAAATATCAGAAACGGATACACTTTCTTACTTCTTAAGGCTTCTAGTATTTTTAGGAAATTCATGCAGCAACTTCTTCCGGTATTCTATCAGCAATTCATGCAATCTGTCCTCTTTTCTTTCGCTTTCTTCGATGGTTTTCATGGTCAGTTCCAGCAGATCGGTGCTGGTTTGGAAAAGGCGGCAGGCATAGCATGTGGATTTGGCCGTCTCCATCTTATCCCCGGTAAGCACCCACACTTTCAGACCTGCCGCATGCAGAGCTTCAATGGTCTCAGCAGCTTGATCTTGCAGCCTGGGACCACAAAGAAAAGCTCGTTACAGAGAGTAGAGTTAGAATTCACAGCCATCCTGGAGCCCTGACGCCTGTTATCGTTTGCTGCTCTGTTTCCCCTCATCAGTTCTAGTCAACTTCGCATCACAGAATAGGGTTTATCTTTTAAAATATGTCACTGTGCTTTTGGAGAAAATTTACCTAGCTAACGAAATTTCCCTTTAATAATTTCTGCACAGATTATTCAGTAACAATGGACACACTTTCGTAATGTGTCAGCATTCTCATGACTTCTGGTCCAATTGTGCAATTTCCATTACTAAAGCTTCCTTGGTCCGTACACTTCCCTTATCCTCTCGTCTTTGGTCTACGATCTACTGATGTTGACCATTATGTCTCGTTTACATGGCTGTGTGGAAGAGCATAGTACTCACAGATAATACTAGCTATTTCATGGGCCACGGAGTCTTTTGGCTGATAGGTGAACACTGGGTGTGGATTAGGTTTCAAACTTAAGGGGTATCCCCAGGGTGATAGCCTTGGGTTCCTCTAGTCTCTATCAGTCCAGTAAGTCTGGTCTTCTTTAGGCATCTGAGTTCTCTCCCATTGTATCCAGCGCTATCTATTGTGTCTTGTGTCATCTCTTAAGCTAGCTCTTATTCTATGGTACAATTAATCATCACTTTAGGCTAAAATGCCCAGAAGCTCACCAAACGTTCTCAGTCACTATCACTTCAGCATATTTTATAGCTTTATATCTCACCAGGCAAATACTTAATGTGGTTGAAAATAGATGGGACCAAACACATTCTAAACCAGATACTGAGGCACTTTAAAAACAGGAAAGGCAACCACCCTGAATGGGAACTTAAGTAAATTCTGAAAAGCAAGAGAGTCCTTTCTTTAGGTTCCTTGTGGCCATGGAGTATCAATGAGATTAAACTCAATGAATTTCATTACAATTCCAATGCTTTCCAATGTGGTTGAATGTATGTTGGCAACTTTTGGCTTGCTTTAACTCTGATAATTTGCTTTTAATGATATTTAGAAAACTCTGAAAAAATGAAGTCTAAACATTCTCTCATGCAGATCAGTGCTGGAGCCCTATAGTCGCATCTGGCTGAGTTCATTCTGTACAGCGAAAGTAAAGAATTTCAAAGTTTTTTGAAAACATGGTCTGACCTATTCCAATAGGTTATAATTCTGCTCTCATGTTTTTCTCTCTTCTGTGAATTTCCTTTCTGCTGCCTCTGTGAAAACCCAACCGACTCTTCAGGTACTAGCTCAGATGTTGCCTGTGGCACAAACTTTCTACACACAGGAAGACTATGTAATAAATGTTTGTATAAACACATAGATGTCTTGGATAACACTCAAAAGACCTTAGTTATGATCAATTTTCTTCTATGTCATTTGCTTTTAACTCAGTCGTGAGTTAACAATTTAAAATACGGCATAATTTTTCACAGTTGCTACAATTAATGAGCCTACAAGACCACTTAGACAACAAAGTTAAATGAAAGATTTCACAGCTTGAGACTAGATGATGATATGGGGCAGATCCCATCTTAAATTACTGATTACTGTGGCGCTGTGGGTTAATGCGCCAGACTGCAAAGCCGTTTGAACGGCAAGGTTCAAGCTCACCAGCTGCTCCTTGGAAACCCTACACAGGGTTGCTATGGGTCGGAATCGACTCGATGACACTTAACAACAACAACAAAGTCACAAAAGCATCATTTTCTAGTTACTTGTCTTCCACTGCAGTGGCTCCAATCAAGTTCATGTTCGTCTCAATATCATCAAAAACCTTTTCCATTTTTTCTTCTCTGTCTTGTAAGGCCATTTTCGCCTCTGTAAGCTGTCTGTTAATTCTTTCATAATCATCTGGAGCAATTTCTTTGAAGGCTACACAAAGTGTCCGATAACCATCCTAGAGGAAAATTGGTAGATTTATAATTAGTCAAATAATATGTGAACAAAATGGACTCTCTTTAAACACTCTTGTTTTACCCACATGTATGAAAGAGAAAATTTTGACAGTATGGTGGAAAAAAAGAAAAGAAAAAAGAATCCATTGCAACAAAAAAGGTGGCATTCCATTTGGTTTCAAGTAACAAAAGAAAAACTGATTCCTGAAAAATGTTCAAGGCTGCAAATTTTAACCACAAACTTGCTTCCGGAAAAATAATTCTATTGAGTCTCTCAAATACAAAAGATAGACCACAAATGAACTGAAGTTAATTTACAATGTCATTTACACAACAATTCCACAAACCTGGTTTCTCCTTTTACTTATTAGTGGAGGGGGGTGTGCTCACCATTGCATTACGTTCCACATGGGCTTTAGTCAACTCAATTTCATGATTTTGTACCCTGGGGAAAACGGCTGAGTCTGCTCCTTTACAAAAGAGAAGTATGTCTCCTAAAATAAACAACCAAGATACTCAACTTAGAATTCGGAAACCAGTAATAACAGATAACTATTAAGGTGGCCCTCTCTCATCCATCTGATGTGTATCCTGAGCCAGCTCACCCAAATGGAAACGAGGCATCTTGACCTTCAATCTGTTGGTGGAAGGATACTCGCTACCTCTTAAGACTAATCGAAAATCCGGAGTTTATAACATGCACCTCTTCAAAAATGTACTCGCTCCCAGTGAATCATAGGTGCTGTCCTTGCATCAAGAACTGCACCTGTATTCTCTTTAAAAATTGAGGCAATGAATGGCACTGAACTGCATGCAGAGAAACTGCAAAGTGGGGGTGTGTTCTATTGTAGCAATTTTCACCAGAATAATGACATATTTTTTAACTGAGAGAACAACGGCCTTGGGTACACACATGGTATCTACACACTTTAAGGACCAAACTCAAGCTGAAATAACAGTCAATTAACTAGCTTTTAAAACAGTGACTTGAGAGGTTTTACTGGAAACTTGAGAGGAGCTTGGTATAACACGGGTACACCCAGAGAGATACTCAGAGCTGAGGATCACAAAATGCACCATACTGACTCGGGGCAAGAGCCGAGTTCAATAATTTTTTTAAAGTGTGGCTCTGAGGCCACAGTCTCTGGTAGAGCACTTCCCCAGACAACTGGTCGTCTGTGCAATAGAACTCACATGTGGATGCACACACATGAGAAAAATGATCATTTCAAATGTTATCTCCTAGACCCCCCACCCCCACCACCATTTTCTATCACACACCCAAAGCAGGTTTCAAAGTCCCCAAACAAATTCTACAGTCACACAGCCAAATCAATTTCATGAATTTACGGGTATACTTCAAAGCATCAAAACGTGGGTCATGTTCCCTCAAGAGTCTCTCTGCATCCCCCAAGAAAGTAACTGTCACTCTGAGAAATTTGGACCAGTTATTTGGGAAATCAAGCAAGGTTATTATTATTAATAGCATGGCATTTGGAAAATATGCTGCACAAGACCTCTTTAAAGTGCTCAAGTGCAAAGATTTCAGTTGCACCTGACCCAAGCCATGGCATTTTGAGTAACTTCATATGAATGTGAAAGTTGGACAATGAATAAAGAAGACTGCAGAAGATTTGATGCATTTAAGCTATGTATGGTGTTGGAGAACATTGAAAGTACCATGGATCGTCAAAATAACAAACAAATCTTTGCTGGCAGAAGTACAACCAGAATGCTTCTTAGAAGTCGGATGGCCAAACCTCGCCTCTCATACTTTGGACATATTCTCAGGATGGACCAGTCCCTAGAGAAGGACATCATGCTAGGTAAATTGGAGGGTCAGCGAAAAAGAAGACAACTCCAATGAAATGCATTGGCACAAAGGTAACAATAATGGGCTGAACCTTAACAACGATTGTGAGGTTGTCGCAGAAGCAGGCAGTGTTTCGTTCTGTTGTGCATATGGCACCTAACAACAAGAAGTAGCAACATTTCTCTTAATAATCAAACCACCTGGGCACACACACCCACAAGAATCTGAGTGCCTGTGGATAAAGCAGGAGTGTTTCCCCACGGGCTTGGCTGAACACAAGCAGGTGGCATCCACCAAGATGCCTGCCAAGGCCAAAAGGGAGCCTGGGAAAATAGCACTGGCTCCTCTGCAAAGTACACACCTTCGTCTGACATACAAAATAGCCCAGAGCCCCATAGCAAAACTAGCAAGCCCTTTCCCAAAAGACCAGTTCTTACTCCTTTCTACCTTACCTGCTCCCAGGGAGTAGACAGCAGTAAGGGTTAATGATTAGGAGGGGCAGAGAGCCATAACCAAGGACTCTGATACCAGCAATCCTAGGCATGGCAGGCAGACCTCATCTCATTGGGCATTGCTTTATTGCATCTTGTAGATATTGTGTCTTCTACATATGGAAGGTTTCTGGCAACCCTGCATGAAGCAAGTCTATCGGTGCTATGTTTTCCAGCAGTTATGTGCTCACTTCGTGTCTCTATGCCACATTTTGGCAATTTTCACAAGATTTCAGACCTTTTCAACATGCTATTGCACACATAATTGACTACAGTATAGTGGAAACAAAACTTTTATATGGGCTGGAAAACAAAACAAAAATATTCATGTGACTTGCTTGATTGTGATATTCATTTCACTACAGTAAGTACTGAGTCTGGAATTGAGCCTGTATCATCTCCAGGGTAGATGCTTGAAAAGTCCCAGTGCTTAAAAAGCCATCCTTCCAGGTTCTTGCTTGAACCCTCAGGGCAGAGGAATACGATTCTTCAATCTTCTTCTATGGCTATGCAGGGACTAGCCACCATACCAGTGGCTTTTCTGCTGACAGTTTGTCAGACTGAACACATGTGTTAAAATAAAGACACAAAGGCTACTGCCATGCATGACTTTAGCTAATCCTATTACTACTGCATGAGATGTTCTTCTTTCATGAAATAGTTGATCAATAAACAAACCTCTCAATGGAAATGGAGAAAAAGTCCAGTTTTGAAAATGCCTACCTGTCGCAGTCTTCACTATTACACTCATACGTCGGCGGACAGAATCAAAGTTTAAGGTGTGAAGAAGTTCGTATCTTTAAGAGAGGAGAAAAGAGAAGTGACAAAGCTAGATACACATTAGGACAAAAAAAATACCAAGTGAAATACGTTGAGCACAGAAAAGGTCTTCAATGAAGACGTGGCTCTCATCTGTGGCGAAGGCTAACTGGGTGTGTGTGTGTGACTAGTGCTTTCCCTGGCATGTAGAATTTCTTGGCACACACAACATGTCTGAGGACACCACTGCTGGCTAAGAGGTATCTATCCTCTTGTTACGTCCCCTGAAATGGCAAGGAGAATATGACTACCTAGAAACGGAGAACAAAAGCAAGAGAGCTGACTTCCCAAGTCATATCTAGAGGGGTCTAGAAATAGTGCCACCTTGCTGGTGAAGACAAACTGCTAACATCTGTGTGCCGTGCACAGTGCTAGGTGCTGGCTAAGAGTGAGTCTGCCCGAGGCCCTTCCTTCAAGATGCTCACCATAGTACGAGTGAGACAGAGGGTGATGAGAGAAGCCAAGCTGGCTGAATACGAATAGAGTTCTAATAAAGGCACTCCTGGGGCTGATATGCATGGAAGGAAAGCTGTCTGAAGGCTGGCCTCTTGGGAGAGGGAATGCCTGAGCTGGGCTTTGCAGGAGCAGCAGGAAGGGGGTCCTAGCATTCTGAGTAGCGGGAAGGGTATAGGCAAAGGCACAGCAGCAGGAAAGAACACGGCTGTGGGGAACTCTGAAAACAAACTGCTGGGGAATAGCAAGAGGTGAAGTCAGAGAGGTTAAGAAGGGTTTGGGAACTAAAAACGTTGTGGGCCTTATCAGGGATTTGAGATTTGAGCCTAAGAGCAACAGGAAGCCATTGAAGGGCTTAGAAAGATCAGACTATGAGGGTTGGCTGAGCTGTTAATCAATCGGGCAAAAGAATACAGGAGCGTTCAAATAAGAGCTAATTATTAGGAAAACAGTAAGGAAAATGCTTTCTGGAAAATAAACTATTTGGTTACATGTATTTGACACTACAAAATATATACTGTGTCGTTAGACTGACTTGTTTTTTCTTTTTGATGGAAGTGAAGGGTAATCGGTTTTGGGGTGTGTGTACACATATAAAGGGCTCCGTGTGTAAGTTGAGTGCTGGCCAGCTGGGGGCACTGTTGCTGAGTGGCCAGCATCCAGATTCTGACAAGGAAACCTGGGGCCTGTCAGGCTGCAGAGCCTTCCTCTAGGTTTCTGTGTAGCCCTCCCCAGGGAGCGGCAGTCCCTAGAGTCTCAACAGTTCTGTGATGGAGCTCATGAGCTCTTAGGGGCTGGAATGGAAATCAGATGAGATCACGTTACTTCCAGTTCCAATGAATCACAAAGCCTAATTAAAATGTGCCATTAAGTCAAACTAGTATCTTTGTAGCCAAAGAATGAAATGTGGAGACATAAATGCTTTCCCTGAAGTTCACACTTGAACATCTAGGACAGGATAAAGCTTCTGGTTAACATTCACCCACAGCAGCCCTACAGGGCAGAGGAGACCTGCTCCATACAGTTGCTGATGTTGTAGATTAGGCAAGCAAATGGTCTCATTTTTCTCCCACGGAGTGGCCAGTGAGTTCAAACTGCCAACTTTTTTGCCAGCAGCCCAATATTTAACCACCAGTGCTGCCATTATTGTCTGGGTTTGCACTCCCAGAAGGATTGGTTGAGTCAATTGTTTTTGGGTTTTTTTTTTTCTCTTGAAGAGCATGTTAGAGTCCTGGAATGGCATCCTGATTCTAGAACGAAAGTCTCTGGAGACGCTGCAGACAGCTCATTCAAGACTACTTACTGGCTCCCTATGTCAACTAAATTGGAATTATTATTATGTCAAACCCCAGTTTCTGCCATTCTGTGGTAATGGCTTCCCCTACTCCAGCTACGTTTCCACAAAATTCTGAAATGCGACAGCAGAGTCCCATGTTTATAGCTGCATCCAGATTCCTTTGGTGCCCTTTGATCTAGTGTTCACTGTGGGGTTAGGAAATGAGAAACATCAAACGCACAGTGCCACTTACTCTTCAATTTCTTTTCTTTGGTTCTCTACTCTCATATAGCCATTCCGAACTCCCAAAAATGTGAACCCATACCTATGAAAAACAATAAAGAAGACCTTTGTTAATCTCTAAAGAACAATTATTGACACTTATTTTCTTTGCTTTCCATATGATGTCATAGTCTATGCTTCCCTGCTCTGGCTGAGTTAATTAATGCTCAGCCACAACTGTTATCAAGGAAGAAGCAATTTGTCATCCCAACTCTAGAGCAAGCATGCTGGATAATGTGCTAGTTACTTAATCAGCTGGAACTCATCGGTACAATTGGACTTTCAATTATCTAATGATGTCCAAATCGCTGAGAGAAACTAGAAAGATGATGAAATACTTCGGAAATAACGTAAAGTGACCACTGATCACACAATTTGAAAACTGGAAAATGAGCACTTGGACTTCCAGGCAGTCCTTTACGAACAGTGATGCAAGTTATAGGCAGACATCCTTTCGTTTTTGTTCTGCATTGTTTATATTTCCAGTTTTTCGAACTTTCACATAAAGAAGTTCAGCTTTTTATTAAATATGAAGGAGATTTACAAGCTGAGGATATTGATGCCCACTTTGGGAAAGAAAACCCGATTCCTGTTGCACCTGTGATTGGCTTTCTCAGGGGAAGCATGGTGGGGTGGTGGGGTGGTGTGCTGTCTGCTGTCAAGTCAGTTCTGACTCACAGCAACCCTTTGTAAGGTTTCTGACATTGTCAACCTTTATGGGAGCAGAAAAACTCATCGTTCTCCTACAGAGTGGGTGATAGATTCGAACTGCTGACCTTGCGGTTAACAGCCCAACTCGTAACCCACTTCACCAATAAATCTCCTCAGGAGAAGTCTAAGTGCTTACTTTTTAGCTCCTTTCACTAAAGCGATTTCATCTGGTGAAGAGGAGATATAGGGTAATTCCACTGATTCTGTAGCTCCATCAACAGCATCATTTGCTTTAATTTCTACAGTGTGACATAGACACAAAGCACGCAGAAAGAGTTCTTCTCTATGCTGTAGAGTGGAAACAAAAAGAGAGAGTATAGTATTTTTACTTCAATAACTCGTTTTAGCAAAAAGAGAAAAAGATACTGATGTGAGAGATGGTTATAACTTCCAGGAAAGTAACAGAAATTTATAAAGCCCTAACAAATGAACTGCAGACCTTCCTAGTACCAAACAGAGTCCCTGGTTCTCAGATAGCAGACCCCAGAGGCCACAGAGACTCATTCAAGGCACCGCAGTGCCACCTAACACCAAATCAGGGACTTCTTCAAGGCCTGAAAGAGTTCATTCCGTATCTCATTTCAAATCCAGCAAGAGCTCAGGTGCAGAGAGACTCTGGCTCATTTACTGCTCAGATACTTCTGGGATTTCTATGATTCAGCTAAACATCATTCTTGGAGGAGCTAATATTTCAAAAGACATAAAACACACAAAAATCATGAGCACACAGCAATGTTTTACCCAAAAGCCACAATTCTCTCATCTTGCAACTTTGATTTGTTTACCAATTACAGAGGTGTTATTAAGATAACAAGAAAAGTGAATCAAAAGAGCAAAAGGCTATTCAAAAGTACAGCATGTACCTATAGTGAAACCATCTGTCCTGTGCAGATACAACAGCAATGAAGAGATTATCACCTTATTTGCTCTGTCAATGTATGCCACGGTTCCATCCGTTTGAGAGAGTCCATCCACCTCTTCAGTCACACCTTTGTATTTATGGCCATCGATGCAGCACTCAATGAACTCCATGCTGTTTTCAGTAAGCGTGCCAGTCTTATCTGTAAATACGTAATCCACCTACAAACAAAGACATCAACATACACATTTTCATTTTTCTTCAGGGTGATTAATTTTCATTAGCTGTAAGGCAAGGTCATTCTCACATCCACAGAAAATCACCTCTTCTGAGACTTTTTCAAATGCTACATAATTAGAGAGAACATTAGCAAATGAATGAGAGATGGAATATTTTTAAAGAAGCTGAAATAGCATCATATTTCTAAGACATACCAACTCTAATGTAAAAGATTATTAGCGGGAGGGGGGGGGGAATGTGGCTATTTTAGCAAATTAAGAGCCCTTCTATTTATTGTAGCAAATAGAAAACCTTTGCCATTCCAACACTGCTTACAGGTACAATTCAGTGACATTAAGGGTGATCACTGTCCTGCACAGCCAGAACCATTGTCAATTTCACATTCTTCTCACCCTTAATGTTAAGCAGACTTCAACGTCACACCCATTCAATTCATACTTGTTTTGAAAAATGAAGCTACACACAAAAAGTCTATTCTCAAAGTAGAAAACTTGGACATACTGACCAAACTGGGGGCAGGGGAGGCAGGGCAGACAACCAAAACCAGAATTTATAAGGATGGGTCAAAGTTTGATCTCAGTATATTTTCATAGATAATGGACAGACTAAGCTATGAAATATATCTTCCAGATAAAATAAACCATATTGAGAGCATTTCCATTTTAGCTCAGTTTTCCTCTATTCTATTTATGACATCTGGCTTTTGGAACCCCACAATTGCATCCTCTTTTCTGGCAATTTATGCTTAAATAGTGGAAATTACGGGCCGACAGGAAGCAGCATAAGCCCAAGATTAAGGTCTTTATTAAGGGACTGCAGCAGTAATCGCTCTCTAATGACCTTTCAGGGCCTTTCACAGTGGACGCATGGCCACAAATACAGCATTCCAAGCTTCCTTTCCCCAGCCAAGTTTGAATTTTTCCTTTAGATTAATTCAAGTGGTGTTATTCATGTGTTGTCTCAAGTTGTCCAGCTAAAATGAAATTCTTTACAGCTTTTTTTTTTTAAACTGGTTAGCTTTCATTTCCTTCTGAAGGTTGGTGGCCAGGCTTGTACCTTCTGCCCTCAGGTATGAACTAACTGACTCAGAAATCTGTTTTATGAGTGTTCAAGGGTGGATGCCTTCAAAATATAAAGGGTGATGTCTATGCCTCTACTCAATAGTTTGGAGTCCTGGTGTGGTGCTGTGGGTTAATGCATCAGACTGCAAAGCCGTTTGCACTGCAAGGTCACCAGTTCAAGCTCACCAGCTGCTCCTCGGAAACCTTATACAGGGTCGCTATGGGTCGGAACCGACTCGACGGCACTTCACAACAACAACAACACTCAATAGTTTGAGCAGTGTGAGTCCGTGAAGGCTTGCTGAAGGCAGTGGTAATAGAGCTCCAACTCCAACATGCATCAGAATCAACTGGCAGGGTTGAGACAACTCAGACGGCTGGGTTCAGTTTCTGAATCAGTAGAAATCAGAAGATGCTTTGCAGTTCTAACAAGTGCTCAGGTGATGCTGATGCTGCTTGTCTTGGGAATCACACGGTGAGAACCACTGCTCCAATATAGGCCATGTGCTCAGGAAAGGGGGAGGACAGGGCAGACGTGACTTCAACAAAAACGGGGAAGAGGAATCAAGAGGGAGAGGCTAAGGCTACTGGTCAACGCTGACCTTCCACAGCAGCCTTGCCCCCTTTGAGTTTGCTGCGAAGGTCCCTCTCTATGGCAACCCCAAAGCATCACCTTTCAAATGGAAAGCTAAAGGTGAGAAAGCTGCTACAGCAGAGAAGAAGCTGGCACTTAACAACAACAACAGAATACTTCTACACAGTCAATTCTGTCCCTTCATGAAAAGTGGTGGGAAAAGGCTTGGGCCTGCCATTGAAAAACATCTTCTGGGTATGACTGTTGTTGTTAGGTGCTGTCCAGTCATAGCGACTCTGTATAGGGTTTCCTGGGAGCAGCTGATGAGTTTGGACCACCGACCTTGTGGTTGAAGCCGACCTCGTGCTGCGGTTCAAACTGGCCTCGTGGTTGAGCACTTATCCTACATATCTAAGGGAAAACCCAATTGCTGTCATCCTTAATACTTCAGTATCATAACTCCATGGCAAGGGAACCCATGATCCAGGACATCAGGATTATCTATAGAGTTCTTCACCCTTGGTGGCAGCAGATACCAAGAGGTTACTTTGGTTTAGGTGAGGGCTGTGTCAAGAGCAGAAATGGGGAGCAGGGAAAGCTACATTATGGAAGAGAGAGCTCTGAAGTATACATGCAAATCAGTTCCATATTAAAAAAAAACTGATCCATACACAGAATTCCACGATCAGTTTCATCTCCCAGTCAGAGATGACATTTCTATACCCTTGACATTCTAAATAATATCATGAAAATAAAATATGAGTCCCCAAGCCCCTCAGCTTGTGCAGATCATTAGATGACATACTACATTTAGACAAAGGGAACACACTTCTCCATTGTGATAATCAAAGCACCTAAAGAAGTTATCATAGGAAGAACCACAGCTAGAATGCATTGCAATGGAAAAGAAATGTGCCTGGGTTAGAAGAGAGGTCACAGTCCTGCTTATATTGGAATATGAGGCAAAAAGCACTTTGAAGAGTGCATGCCCTCTCATTTTCCCTTCATGTACATTCCTGGACTGGAATAAATAACTGCTTGCTAGGTCTATATTCTATCTGATCAGAAATGTACCAAGAAAATGCCAATAGGACTGTTCTGGTCATTTTTATTTACAAAACAAAACACATTTATATTCTCTCCGTAAATTAGATGGTGAAGATTGCACAGTCCCTGTTCCAAGGCAATAATCCATAATCTAACAACGGCACCAGGTAAGTTATAAAGAGAAACTCTGGGTCATTCAAATTTAACTCATAAATTGGGACATTTCTCCAAAATGCCAGCATAAAGAACTGAGGCGATAGCTACAGAAGAAGCATTGCTTGCTTTTATTACATGTCTACACAAAGCAAATGCCTTTGAATCATATTCCCTAACATGAAATGGGACTATGCCCGTGAATATAGATGTTTGATAGAGGATACTTCTATATGCATATTAACCTATGCTACACATATATCCATGAACATGATGGAGCAAAATAAACAAACATGGAGTGGTCAGACACATTGACAAGTCAGATGATTCGGAAAAAAAAGCAACAACTATCTTTTCAGCATATTAACCTATTTTAAGTGAAAATGTGTTCTAACCTGGCCAAGTTCTTCATTAAGGTCTGATGTGTTAACCAGGGCTCCTTCATTAATTTCTTCATCATAAAAGTCCTTATCCCATGAAATGAAGAAAGAGCCCAAAAATTTCTGCATTTCTACTGTAACATACATGGAGACGGGAATGATAAAGTTGAAGAGAACCATAAATGATAGGAAATCGGTGAACATTTTCAAAACCTAAAACAAAAGAAATCGTTCATGGTAATTAGATGCACAGTTCCATCAGACAAGTGTAACAGAAAGAAGTAGCTATCCTCCTAGTCAATGCTAAAATCACTGCTCTTGCTATAAAGAAACTTTCCAGTGCACTGTCATAAAACAGCATAGAATGTGAGAACAACAATTAAGAACACTCTGCATTTTATCAATGATGTCTAGCATATGTGTCTTGTTTCCACTGTGAATTGAGTAAAGCTTTACAGACAAAAATCACTGGTTTTACAGTCAATAAATCATACCCTTTGTTTCATCTCAATGACTGCAATCCCCTCCTTGCAACAACAGTTCTCCCACTTCCTCCCTGCGGTTCCAATTTCCAGTCCACCTGCCTTCCCATCCCTTCTCACCTTTGTCCTTAGGTGAATGTTACCATATGTGCCTTGTGTCTTAGCACTTTTTAACTTAAGTTCCTGTTCCCTCTGAATGTGAGACCAAATTACACGTAGGCACCCCCCTCCCCATTATGCTCCTATCATGATATTTCAGAAGCTAATCTTATATTAAAATACCACCCCTTCTGGCCAAATTGCCCAGAACTCTTAACTAAAGAGTAAAAAAATAAGCATAGCTGTCAAAAGTAAAAGGGGGAAAAAACCCTCTAACTCTTCGTAACTATTTAATGGTTTAGGGCTACCAAACAATTAAACGAAAACCTGGAAGCCAACAAAGGTGTTGCTCTAAAGAGTATTTTAATAAAGGGTAGTCAGGTCACCCAAGTGAGGGACTTCACATTTTCAGCATAAGACCAATTACCTTCAAAGTCTCCCGCTCTTTCTGGGTCTTTTGGTTATACCAAGGTTCATCATTATATGGATTACTTTGCCAAACATACTTTAGAGTAGTGCACACTGCAGCTTTGGTTAGTAATATAAATAAATACACAATCAGAAAGGCATTGATGGATCTGAAAAGTAAGAGATTATGGATTTACAAACTAGAAAATTACTTACAAATTCAGCCAGGTCTCAACAAAACTGCTCAATTCTCTAATGCTTCTCCTAAGTATATGTGACCACAGCCCAAGTTGACAATGGATGAAAGTCACATACCACCGCTATAGCATTCTCACGACGTAGAAAGGAAAGGACAATCCTGAACTATTCACCAACGCTCTCTAAGGCTCTCTGAGGGTAAAAGCTGACTAGCTAAGCATGCCTTCAGTAAGGTTCCAGTAAGGTGCTGTCAGATACAAATGCACATGCCATCATCAACTTGAAACAAGGAGGCACACAGTTATAGGTATTCTGTAGGTGGCAGTACATGTTGCAAGGGGAAAGGATGCAGTGAATTCTGAGGATAAGGATTGACAGATCACTGATTAAAGGACTCGTCAGAGCCACACTTGTAACTGGAAAGCCCTTCAAAGCCATTTAGCATGCTAACATCACATTACAAAGAAATCTTCTTTAAAACCCTTCTTTATTCTTTAGGATCTTTAGTGATATCCATGCATTCTTCCCTTCGTTTGGTCATTTCTCTCCTTAATTCTTGACCTAAACATCCTGGCTGTCTGTTTCGCGGTTAGGCTATTACCAGGATCTCCCAGTTAAAGTGCTACTTGGTTTTCTGGCTTACCTCAACTAGGACCACAACCTCTTGGCTAACACATCCGTGGCATTTCCTCTCTTTTTGCCTACTGAGTTTGCCACTTTCAGTCAACAAAGCTTCAAGTTTTCACTCCTTACCCCAAAAGGAATCTGTACCCTCTCACAGCAAAACTGCTGGTTTTGAGTAAAAAGACATTTCTCTCTGGCACAGGGGAATAGAAAATGGCAGAAGCTTCGGACAAAAATGTAACCATTTTCCACCATTTTTGTCCTAAATAATAGCAGCTCTTAAGAAGTCCTCCTAGTGTGGTGCTGTAGGATAAGTACTGGACTGCTAACTGCAAGATCAGAGGTTCAAACCCACCAGCTATGCCTCAGAAATCCTACACAGGATTACTTTCTATGAGATGGAAACAACTCCACAGCAAACAACAACTTACAATAAAGAAGTCTCCGTTTATGCCTGCCTAGGAAGAAGGAGTGACGAACTAATTCCAAATATTTAGTCACTGAAAACCTTATGAATAGCAGAGAAACACTGTCAGATACAGTGCCAGAAAATGAGGCCCTCAAGTTGGAAGGCACTAAAAATGCGACTGGGGAAGAGTTGCCTCATCAAAGTAGAGTTGACCTTGATAATGCAAATGGAGTAAAGTCCCTGGGAGAAAAGCCCGTGGGACCTTCATTTGCTGATAGGGCACAACTCAAAATGAAGAGAAACAGCTGTAAAAATTCATTGAAAATCGGAACATGGAATGTACGAAGTAGGAATCTGGAAAAATTGGAAATTGTCAAAAAGGAAATGGAACACATAAACATCAATATCTTAGGCATTAGTGAGCTGAAATGGACTGGTATGGGCTATTTTGAATCTGATAACCACATGGTTTACTATGTTGGAAATGACAAATTGAAGAGGAATGCTGTCGCATTCATTGTCAAGTACATATCGAGATCATTCATAAGGCACAACACTACGTGTGATAGGATAATATCCATGCACCTACAGGGAAGCCCAGTTAATACCACTATTACTCAGATTTATGCACCAACCACTAAAGCCAGTGA